TGTTTTACTATTAGGTATAATATGGCGTGAAATTGCAATGTCGATTCGTCTCACCGACTAGCGTAGTCGTTTTTTTTTATATGTTCGATTAATCTTCTTCGTTTCCTAATTAAACTGGCCATTTAGCTTTGATTGTATTTTAAATTTACCTTTGACAGCAAGGTTACTACTCTATCTACTGAAATATTAAGTTTAGTGGGAAGAAAACAGTCTATGCTCAAAGCTGCCAAATATGTACTACTATTATCTTTTTATTGTTATGATATAGCAGCACTATAAGCATAGCTGCACTCTCTATTATTTCACACTTATAGTCCGATTGGACGGTAATCTGAAACAACCGAAGGGAGATCAGGCGTAGGGTACCAATGGATTTTCGTGCTTTCCGAGATACAACCCAATTTCAAACCTCCGGGCCGTTACTGAGCATTTCTTGACGGAAATACCTAGTAAATAACTTAAATTAAAAATTAAAAAAACTCCCGAAACAAAAAGTGTTGATACTCTTAATCTGCAAACGGCTGAACAGATTTTCATTTCAAAAGAAATAAATACATTAAAATCGGTTCATCCGCTTAGGAGCTATGATGCCACAGACAGACAGATACACAAATACACATATATTAGGTCCTTACATATGAAATTAGCGTTTTGTCGTACTGACCACTTTGATCTGTAATGTCTCCTATTTGGTTAAGAATTTCAAATTCAAATTTATAAATTCATTTAGCTGGTAGATTTGAGTTTTGAAAACAGTCATTCATTTGTTTTTTCCTCGTTATTTTTTTCTTTGGCGTCGCTTATTACCGCACAATGGAAAACATGAAGTATCGGTATATTTACGAGTACGAGTTCTACCGTGGCACCAGTGCTGTACAAAGAGCTCGAAGGATTAATGATGTGTATGGCGCTGGTGTCGCAAAAGAAAGCACGGCACGTTTTTGGTTTCAACGTTTTCGTTCTGGAAATTTCGACCTTCAGAACCGACCCCTTGGACGGCCGGAGACCAAAGTGGAAAATGAAGAATTAAAGGCTATTGTGGAAGCGGATCCATCACAAAGCAGTTCAGAGATAGCTGCTGGCTTCGGGGTAAGTGTATTAATCCACTTGAAGCAAATCGGGAATGTAAAAAAACTTGAACGATGGGTACCTCATGAATTTTCGTGCATCGAACTCGCGTCGAATGCTGTGTTACTTTGCTCAACCGACACAATAAGGAAGGGATTTTAATTCGAATCATTACTTGTGAAGAAAATGAATACTGTACGATAATCGGAAGCGCTCGTCGCAATGGCTGAACCCTGGAAACCCAGCCAAATCCTGCCCTAAACGAATATTGACTAAGAAAAAGTTACCTGTGAATGTTTGGTGGCCTAGCGCCGGTGTCGTTCACTACAGATTTCTAAAATCTGGCCAAACGATTACGGCAGATATCTATTGTCAGCAACTGCAAACCATGAAGGAAGAACTAGCTACTAAACAATCGAGATAGGTCAATCGCTCTAGGCCACTGCTGCTTCACGACAACGCAAGACCACACACTGCACAACAAACAACCACTAAGTTAAATGAGCTACAATTGGAATTTCTGCGACATCCAACGTATTCCCCGGATTTACCCCAACAGATTACCATTTTTCCGGAATTCGAACAACTTCTTACAAGGAAAATAATTCAACTCCGATGCGGCAGTCGAAACCGCCTTCAAAGAGTTTATTGATTCTCGCCCCCATGGTTTGTTTAGTAAAAGGATCAATGAACTACCTATGAGATGGCAAAAGTGCATAGATAACAACGGTGCATACTTTGATTAATTAAATATATTTTACAAAAAAAAATTGACTTTATATTCCTCCCGTACAAAACGCCAATTTCATATGTAAGGACCTAATACATATATACATAGATACACACGTTAAACATATGACACCCCTTTTTTTGTCGGGGTTTATTATTTTGGCGCAACCCGGTATTCAAACCCGGGACCTCATAATCAGCAGCATTTACGACCACTAGACCATGGAGGCAATCATGTAATTAGGTAAAATAAGTATTATCGGTAAAAGTACTCGTTTTTCTAGAAGCACGTGCTGAGTGGTCGATTGTGTGTAGTTGCGGTGTAAAAATATCTACTACCCCATGTCATCATGTCAGTATCGTAAGTGGCGACAGGAGGAAACAAACCGATATGGGCAGTAGCTTCCTCCTAATAACAACCAAAAATAATTAAAAATTAAAAATTTTGTACAGCCGATTTCAATATAAGTTATTAAGAATAACTCAAATAACTCAAAAATTATTGGTCTGACCTTGATTAAATTCATATGGGACCACACGAAAAGTATCAGCTTTCATATAAAAAAAGAATCATCGAAATCGGTCCACCCACTAAAAAGTTATGAGGTAACACACATTAAAAAAAACATACGCGTCGAATTGAGTACCGTCTCCTTTTTGGAAGTCGGCAGAAAAACTATGGTTGCCAACCTGTCTGTCAACTATGGCAAATAATATAATTATTTTATCGAAGTATTTATTTTCTCTTAAAAAAAAAACGCTAGAATTTTCTCATATGCCGCGGAGGCAGTTCATAAACAAGGGCAGGTCTTGTAATGTTAAGAAGGTATGTTGAACAGTGTGAGGTCTTGCGTTATCATGGAGCAATAGCGACGAAGATAGATTGACGGGTACGGGTTGTTTCCCTGAGGGTTTCGCCATCATTGTTTGAAGTTATGCACAATATCTGTTGTTATTGATAAATTGAATTTTAAAAAAGGTACAGTGACTACACCATAAAGTGGCCACCAAACAGTTATCAATAATTTTTATCGGTGAGCGTCACTTTACAATATTGTTCCGGTATTTAACCTGGGTTCAAACATTGCGATTTTCGATGATGCGATTATCTTTTAGGGTCCACTTCACTTCAACTTCCACTTCACTCATTACACGTCATAGTTCTGAGCCAAATTTCTGTACAACATTTTTGAATTTAGAATGTTAAATTTTTTGTATAAAAAAAGATTTAATCAATAATCTGGGACAGTACTTGTTTAATTTTTATTCAATGTTATCCATCCATTCATTCCTACAGCTTATAAAAGTCAACTGCTGCTGAACAAAGGCCACCCACATAGATTGCCTCACAGGGTGGATTTTGACGTACTCGTAGTTACCACGCTTCATATGCGGGTTGGCAACCGCAGTTTTGTATTAATTTGAGTTGTTGTCATCACAAAGTTGCCCATCTTCTGTTTTAATTTACCTCTGTCGCCTCTTGCGACTCCCACGGGACGATAAGGGTAGTGGAGATTCTTACAACGCCACTACACAATTCCCAGCCCCTATTATCTACATTATTTCTTTCTATTTTGAACTTTATTTTATGAGTTAATCTGTTTTTATAAAATTAAAATGTAAAAACACTTAACAAACAGTCCCCCTGTTGACCTGTTGTACAGTCTCGTTTTCAAGTTTTGTGATATACCTGACGAGAAACCAGTAGGTACCTTCTCGTCAGGTATGTCTATTGTTAGTAATTGATTATTATAATAAAGGAAAGTTAAATTATAAATAAATAAAAATTATTCAGTAAGTACATAGTTGACTTCAGATTATTTATTTGTCAGTAATTGAACCATAATGTTGGAGTGACAAACGTACTAAAAAATCATCTGATAAAGGTTGTTTTTTTTTATAGAATTAGGGTGATAAACGAGCACACAGTCCACCTGATGGTAAGTGGTTGCTGTGACATCTACATATATCCTCAATAAAGAATCAAAATGCGTTACCACCCGTGAGGACTAAGATAGGATGCCTCTTTTGCAGTAAAAGGGGTCTCCGGTTCTCTACACTCACAGTACGAAACACAGCAGTGTTTAGCTACTATTTTACGAGCCGACCCATTAGTGCTACAACTATATCAGTAATATAGCTGCAGCATGGCTCTACCACGTATGTTACTGTATACTGACTTTCTTAACCTTTAAATAGGAACGTAACAAAAGAAGAAATAGGTAACATTGTGGTACGAATCCACACCAAAGTCGACACACCTTAAAAAAATAATTTTATGTGTCACTCTGTCCATGTAGATTAAAATTAAAAAAATATATTCACTTTTAACAAATACTTTAATAAATTATTTTTAGTAATTTTTTTAAGTTACTTTTATAAAAAGGAAAAATTATATCTTGATTTTTTCCAGGTATTCAGTTATTCAGATTTAGGAACCCTAAGGTCAAGATTATCACTTCAGTTACTAACTTTCTGTTGTTGAACAATCAGTTCAGTATTTAATATTTATATTAATAGTGTAAGTTTTCCAAAATTCAATGTAACTTAATCCTTTACACCCTCTTACCAAAGATATTTATTTTAAAAAGCTAAAGATTTGTAATTGATTAATAGATATTATTTTAAGATGAAACCTCAAAATTGTAGAGTTGTAAAACTAGCAGTTCTGATCTGAATTAATGTTGCTTTTATTTATTCCTTAATTATAAAAGAGCTGATATACCACGTATTCTGTGGTGAAGGAAAACATTGTGAGGAAACCTCCATGGCTGAGAAATAAAAATATTTCGATGGCACGTGAAGTCCGCCAATAACGTTCGCAGAAATGAGGGAAGGCCTGTGTCCAGCGGAGGGAAGTATATATAAGTCGTAGATTTAATTTATTAAAATTAAGAAAAAGTATTTAAAAAAAGTATTTGAAACTGGCAATATTAAATATTGATTTTGATAACACTGAGAGTATGGAATTAAAAATTAAGGATTTAAACATAAAGAAAAATAAGACATAGTTTGTAAGCGATCATATTATGCTTAAAGTAAAAGCACACAAGATTTATATAACTTGTCTGAGTATACGTCAAGGTCATTATGTGATGACATAATTTGTGCAAATGTACGGATATTTTAAGATGAATATGAAGCTGCTATTAACATGGTAGATCTATGAAACAGGTAACAAAAACATGAGAAAAAACACTCACCGTACAGCATAAGATCCTACTCATTGGCTAATAATGTGAAAACTGTGTAGGAGTCCTTGGCTATAGTGCAATCGGAAAATTTGTAGCAGATCAAATGAAATTGAGTTGTTTTTATGCGTCAATGTTATGATAGCAAAACTTTTCAAATTTTCGTTCGCGTGTTTTTGTTTTCTAATATGTTTATTTAGTTATTTGTAGTTATGCGCGCGCGCACAACCATCGCGCTTGCGGTTGATAGAGCAACTGACTGCGCCCAGGCTTGTCTTGAATACCTGATGATTGATAAGGCTGCGTTTACCTGGAGAATCAAATATTATTGATACCTTTATAAATTAAAAGGGTTTAGAATGTCAAGGAATAAAATTGAATTAAAGTATTTAATTAATGTTAATAAATGATAATTGATATTTCATAAGAGCAATTTATGATTTAAAGCCTAAAGAGTCGCTGCGACAAAAATTTAAGGAAATTAATATATTAACTTTGGTCTCTCAATACATTTATGAAAATGTAATGTACGTACACAAAAATAAAAGTAGTTTTACAAAAATTTGTGATATTCATTCTGTAAATACTAGGAACAGACACAAGCTAGTAGTACCAGTTACTCGACTTCATCGAGTCAGTAATTCATTCTTGGGGCGATGTATACGCTTTTACAACAAAATTCCAGAAAATATACAAAATTTGACCTGCTCAAAGTTCAAAAACTTTATTAAACTAAGTTTGTATAAAAAGGGTTATTATAATATTAATGAATTTATAGATGATAATAACCCCTGGAAATGAGGTGATCGCTACCAAGCTATTTCTAATTTATTGTGTTGTTAATTTGTGTAACATACATGATTGTAAGCTGTTATTTAAAAAAAAAAGTCCCGCTGGGTTTCTTGCTGGTTCTTCCCAGGACAGAGGTTTTTTTTTCGAACCAGTGGTAATCATACAAAAGAGTGACTTTCAATAAGTATTATTTATAATCTATATTGAATAAAAAAGTTTCTGTTTCTGTTTCTGTTTCTGACGATAAAAAGTAAAGAAGAGATCACAGATAAACTTTTTACCATAAATGCGTCCGTTTGGATAATTTCAAAATTAATAATATTTTTCTGTTTAATCATAACAAAATACCATCATTTTCGTTATGTAGAAACACAGCAACGTAGACACTGCTACTCAGCAGTTAAATAGGTAAGAGGATGGATAAAATTGAAGTGTCTGTCTATAATATCAAAATAACTGCATTTTATCGACTTCAGGGTTTTATTTGCATTCCATTAAGATATGAATAACCTATTGTTAAAAAAATTTACCAATGCCCGTGCTCATCTTCAGTATGCCTGAACCGATTGTATTGCATCTTCACAAACAGATGTTCAGCAGTGGACTTTTATAGGCTGTAATAGATAGATTGATGGATGGACGTATTTATTGATGATAATGTCAACACAATTTTTTTACAATATTAGAGTGACTAACAAGCCAACTCCCAGCCTGTTGGTAAGTAGCTACTGCAATCTGTGTACACTTCTACTCAATTATATACAAGCAAGATCATAAATACATTGTCACTAAGTATTCAAAGACCCTTTCATTCGGAACATAAAAGTTTGTGTTCTGATTCCATTGATGACAACTCCCAGGCAGCAAAGCAATGCTAATTCCTTGGGGAGGAAAGATATAGGTTGAAAATAGTGACGACACCTTTACTTATATAAATTATTTTCGATACTACTCTGAGGAATTCAAAGAAAGTTACTACGTATACATTTTAAATATGCATACTTTAAAAACTAGCAATATTTCGTTCTTTTTTCATTCATTATATATTTAAAGTAAAGTTAACTTGGTATTTCAGTAAGATTTATGTTACAGTGAAAAAGTTAAATAAGAGAGCCCTCCCTAAATCATACATAATTGTTAAATTTGATAAAACAAAACCGCTGTATCTTTTGAATAATGTTAGCATACTTACCAAAACTTACCGCTAAGTTAATTCTGGTTTTATAATTTTATTTATTAGGTGCTAAATTAGAAAATTTTGTATTTATTGTAAGAAATGTGTCATGTCCTTTTAGTAGTCTGAGTATACCGGGTAGGTATAGTCCTCTAACCTATTACTACCGCCAAACAGTTGCTTGAACTGTTTTATGATCTGAACGGTACAGATATCCAGTATAATTTCCGGCTATGAGGTATTCTATTTTAATCCTTACATGTGTCAACGTTACTGTAGCCATCTTTGTTTGAAATCGTTTTTTTTTAATAGGAAATGGGTGACAAACAGGCACACAGTCCACCTGATGGTAAGTGGCTGCTGTGGCCCATAGACATCTACATCTATTCTTAATAAAAAATCTAAATGCAGATGCGTTGTCACCCGTGAGGACTAAGATGTAATGCCTCTTTACCAGTAAAAAGGGTCACAGGTTCTCTACATTCACCATACGAAACACAGCAGCATTGAGCTGCTATTTTACGCTGGTATTCTGTGAGAACGTGGTCCTTCCCCGGTCGAACCGACCCATTCGTGCTACAACTATACTTGTAATGTATATGGCTCTACCACGTATAAGATGATAGGTCAAGGTTGCAGGTAAAGTCTGCAGTAGCTACTTTCCATCAGATGGACTGTAAGTTCTTTTGTCACTCTAATTTTACAAAAAAGTAAGACCAAAATTTCGTTTTCGCAAACCAGTTCTGTTTTTAAACTTTTGTGCATTATGATATAACATGGCGTGGGTTCTATATTCGTAAAGGGACGAAAGTATCTATATTTGAATTCTCTTTCTTTTTTGTATGGTTTTTTTATTGGATAAGAGTGACAAACAAGCACACAGTCCGCCTGATTTAAGTGGATACTGTATCCTATAGACATCTAAATCTATCCTCGATTAAAAATCAAAATGCATATACGTTGCCATCCCTGAGAACTACGATGGAAAGAATCGTTTTCAGTTAAAAGGGTCTCCGGTTCCCTACACTCACCATACGTAACACAGCAGCATTAAGTTGCTATTTCACGCTGGTATTCTGTGAGAGCGTGGTCCTTTCCCGATCGAACCGACCCGATAACGATGCTGCCGATATATTACGGTTGTAGTATGAATATACTACAACCGTAATATATCGGCAGCATAGCTGTACTATGTAAATATTGAGGGTATAATCAGAGCTTGACTGTGTGTGCTTTTAAAAATTACTTAGGTACACTGAAATTAATTAAAAAAAGTATTAACCTAAAAACAGAAATTGCAAAATATGTCTTAAATAACATTATTTTTTCGACTATGACATCAAAATGTTGAAAATAATTTATTTTGATAAAAATAAATTTACTTACATGACCGTGTAGTGGCGGTGTAAGAATATATTCTACGCTATATCATCCTGTGGGTGTCGTAAGAGGTGACAGAGGGACAGAAATTAGGAGATGGGCAGCAGCGTCTTCCTAATAACAACTAAAAATAAAAATAAACTACGGTTGCTAACCCGCTTGTCATGCTTGGCAACTATAGCAAATATTCCCTCTATGATCTATGGGGAAGGCCTATGTTGAGCAGTGGACTGTAATAGGCTGCTAACCCGCTTGTCATGCTTGGCAACTATAGCAAATATTCCCTCTATGATCTATGGGGAAGGCCTATGTTGAGCAGTGGACTGTAATAGGCTGCTAACCCGCTTGTCATGCTTGGCAACTATAGCAAATATTCCCCCTATGATCTATGGGGAAGGCCTATGTTGAGCAGTGGACTGTAATAGGCTGCTAACCCGCTTGTCATGCTTGGCAACTATAGCAAATATTCCCTCTATGATCTATGGGGAAGGCCTATGTTGAGCAGTGGACTGTAATAGGCTGCTAACCCGCTTGTCATGCTTGGCAACTATAGCAAATATTCCCTCTATGATCTATGGGGAAGGCCTATGTTGAGCAGTGGACTGTAATAGGCTGCTAACCCGCTTGTCATGCTTGGCAACTATAGCAAATATTCCCTCTATGATCTATGGGGAAGGCCTATGTTGAGCAGTGGACTGTAATAGGCTGCTAACCCGCTTGTCATGCTTGGCAACTATAGCAAATATTCCCCCTATGATCTATGGGGAAGGCCTATGTTGAGTAGTGGACTGTAATAGGCTGCTAACCCGCTTGTCATGCTTGGCAACTATAGCAAATATTCCCCCTATGATCTATGGGGAAGGCCTATGTTGAGTAGTGGACTGTAATAGGCTGCTAACCCGCTTGTCATGCTTGGCAACTATAGCAAATATTCCCCCTATGATCTATGGGGAAGGCCTATGTTGAGTAGTGGACTGTAATAGGCTGCTAACCCGCTTGTCATGCTTGGCAACTATAGCAAATATTCCCCCTATGATCTATGGGGAAGGCCTATGTTGAGTAGTGGACTGTAATAGGCTGCTAACCCGCTTGTCATGCTTGGCAACTATAGCAAATATTCCCCCTATGATCTATGGGGAAGGCCTATGTTGAGTAGTGGACTGTAATAGGCTGCTAACCCGCTTGTCATGCTTGGCAACTATAGCAAATATTCCCCCTATGATCTATGGGGAAGGCCTATGTTGAGTAGTGGACTGTAATAGGCTGCTAACCCGCTTGTCATGCTTGGCAACTATAGCAAATATTCCCCCTATGATCTATGGGGAAGGCCTATGTTGAGCAGTGGACTGTAATAGGCTGTGACGGTAAATTTACTTACAATTTTATAAGTTCAGTTTCTTTTTTGCCTGTCATATCAAATGTTTGCGTTTAAAATCAATAACATCGCTCAAAAACCGAAGCACGTTTGCACGTTGTTGAATTCAATTTATTTACGGAGCATTGGGGACGCGTCCTTATATAACAAAAGCAACATTGCGAAGCCAGAGCCTTTGAAGGTTGCGTTCACTCCTTTACTGCAAGAAATAAAGCTCTAAATCTAGAGTACGTGTGCGTGTGCGTACGTACGTAATAGGTCTTTATTGTGGATTAATTTGGATTGATTAATTTATACATATTATTTATAATAAGTAAAGTACAGTTACAACCTGAAGACATTTCTAAAAGGGTTTTAGACCAAAGAAATGTCTGCCGCGCTTCACGTCTTTGTTTCTTTTTAGAATTGCAGGTTTCCATACGATGTTTTTCTTCACCGCCGAACACGTGGTTGCAATTAACGATTTCATTGGTTCCGGTGGGCATCTAACCCGGCTTGTTTGAAATTTATAGTGCGCTTTTAGCACTTGAGCTACC